TTTATATCTGGATGGTCCCCCAAAGCTTCATGTGCTCATAGTTGGAATTAGGTGGAGGTGATTGAGTCCTACGGCCATGACACTCACCAGTGGATGAGTGCACTGATGAGGCTATAGCTCACTGTGATGTGAGGAGATGGAGCCTGGTCGGAAGAGGTGGGCCACTGGGCGCGTGGCCTGGAAGGATCTGTCTCTCTTCTCAGTTTTCCCCTCCACTCTGCTTTCCCATACGGTGCCCTGAGCAGCTTTTCTGCTGTGATCCCCTCTGCCATGCTGCCCTGCCTTACAGCTAGTTGAGTATGGACTGAAACCTCTACAGACTGTGACGCTATGTGGATATTGGGTATTTTCTCCTAGCAACAAAGAGAATGCCTAAGACACCCTTTTCATCTTGACCCTCAAGTCTCAGCTTAGTCTTCTCCATTATTTTACTCAACTCACACTTTGGAAATGCCTGGTACAGTGTTCAGAAACTATACACACACTCAACCGCTAACCTCATGGAATTTGAAGTCTAGTTGGTACCAACACTGAATGAGGCAGTCGTGTACAGGAGATTCCAGGAGAATCTTGGAGGCCTTAAAATACATGGACTGTGGGAAGCACTCTAACACACAGAAGACTGACCCCTAAACCTGTGTGTGAGAAGCCAGCAAGAAGATGTTTGCATCACCGTTTGTGCCCTGCCATCAGCAGAATGGGCACTCAGCAAGGCTTAGGATTTGGTGGCACCAGATTCCTTCAAAGGCTGGGATGCAAGGTGGAGCTGAAAAATAGGATTGGAAAAAACTTTATATGAAGTGCAAACACATTCCACATTCTACCATGACTGTATCTTGCTTTAAAAGGAAAAGGAACTTCAAGAGAAAGAGAGTTTTTGACTATTGCTATGGTTTGAGTGTTTGGCCTCTCCCATACTTGAAGGAGGGTCTTTGAGAGGTGATTGGGCCCTCATGGGTGAATTAATGCTATCATAAGAAAAAGCTTAGCTCCTTGTTATTTTTTTGCCCTTTCACCTCCTATCATGTTGTGACAGAGCAAAAAAACTCAAGCATCTTGGCATAGGACTTCCTAGTTTTCCTAACTGTGAGCTGATATATTTCTGTTTTCAGTTACAGTCTGTGGCATTTTGTTATAGCAGGACAAAATGGACTAAGAAATATAAGCAATAATGGCAGAAATAAAATATTCAATAGTGTTTTACAAAAGTATTGAAAGCTTCTCCTCGACCATAGAACAGGAAAGCCAAGAACCAGAAATGAGGGGGAGATGTCAAAGTTAGAATATCAGCCCAAGATATACAGTATACAAATAAATGTGAAAGAGAACATAGAAATCATAAAGAAAGAGAGAGACAGAGACAGAGAGAGACAGACAGAAACAGCAACAGAGAAGACAGAAGGGAGAGGAGAGAGAAGGGAGGGAAGAGAGGGATAGGAAGATGGACAAGACTTCCCAAAACTAGAAGACTTGAATTTCCATAGTAGAGAGAGACCACTGAGTACCTACATGGTAGATGAAAACAGATTCACATGAAAACATTATCAAAACATTGTGAACACCAGGTATTGAAAAAATCAAAAATTGTTACGAGGATGGCTGAATGGCATTAGAATTATCAACAGCAACCCTGGGCAACTTACAACACACTGGAACCATTCGTCCAGAGTTCTGAGGGAGAATGACATCCAGTGTGGACTTGCAAGAATCAAGACTATGTTTTCAAGTATAAAATTTCTCAGGAAATAGATGTCCAGTCCATTCACAGGAACCTAGCAGGGTATGCGGTCTTCAAGACAAGGAAGTAAAACAAGAAAGTGGAAGGTATGTGGTCCAGAGAGAAGAGACCCAGCTCGGGAGGTGGGGACTTCCCAGGACGGCGATGGGGGCAACCTGGATGAATGGCAGCTGGGCTGTTTCCAGAGACGGGGACAAAGGACTCCAGCAGGATCTTCCCCAAGGAAGAAAATGGACCTTGTTCCTTGTTCCTTGGTGTTGTTTCGTCTTAGTTCTTTTTGAGAGTTTGGTAGGGTGTTAGCACTAACTATATAGGGATCTATGAAATAAAAAGAGATACAAAAGCATAGTGTGATTCATAACTTGATTTTGATCTTTTCATAGTCATTGTAAAAATGGAATACGGATTTTATTTAAAAGATGTTTTGAACTTTTAGAAGACAATAGAAGGTTTCGGTATACATGTTTATAAATGGGTAAGGATTGTATCTTTATCTCTCAAGTACAAAATAAATATAAATATAAAATTTGTAATACATATATGTGAATAACATTTAAATATTATATATATTTATCTTAGGAGTCAAGATATAGTCTATGCACAGCATCTTGAAATACCAAGCTAAGTTAGCAGAAAGGTTTTCTGAAGAATTAGGTAGAGAAGGCATGTAAGTTAGGACATTATTGTTTTATAATGAGCCTTGGGATAGCCTTTGACTTCTAAAACTTTGTACATGTGTTATTTTATTTAAAAACTTAAGACATGTTCATACAAAAGTGTATATACAACTGTTTACATCAGTGTTATCCATTCTATCCAAAGAGTAGAAGCCATCCAAACGGCCATCAGTTGGTGAATGGTTAATAAAATGAGGTGTATTCTCATACAGTATCATTCCTCTGTGAAAAGAAATAAAATACCGACACCTGCTGCAAAGTGGGTTGGCCTTGAAAATACATGAGTGACGGGGCTGGGGTTTTAGCTCAGCAGCACAAGCGCGTGCCTGGCCAGCATGAGGTCCAGAGTTCAATCCCCCAGGACCAAAAAAAAAAAAAGAAAAAGAAAAGAAAGAAAGAAAGAGAAGGAGAAAATACACTGAGAAATAACACAAAGAGGACTATGGACTGTTTGATTCCATTTGGATGAAATGCCCAGAATACAGAAATCTATAGATACAGAAAATAAACTAGTGGAAAACAGGCTAGGGACTTGGGAGATGGGGGTAAAGAGGGAGTAATTGCTAACAGTTACAGGGTTTCTTTTTGTGCTCTAAAATCGTATAGTGAAATAGTTGTACAGCTCTTAACTTTGCTACTGAATTGGACACTTTCCGTGGGTAACTTTTATGGCATGTGAGTCATATTTTAATAAAGCTTATATTTAAAAATCACGAAGAACAAAAACATCTAATTCATAAGGCTACTATGAGAAATGAATGAAATAATGTATATGAAGGGTCTCGTTATGTAATAATGAAAAGATGTTTGACAGGCACTAAACTGCATAAATCAACTTGCTTAACTTTCACAACAACTGTATAAAACACACTATTGTTATCCCATTCTAGATGAGGACTCTGAGGCCAATGACACTGAATAATCTGCCCGAGGTGGCCGGCTCAGCGCCTTTCCCCGGCCACCCCACACTGCTCCCTGAGCCTCCAGAGCCCATGCCTGGGTTAGTGCTGTGTGTTCCCACATGCACTCTGCTCCTTGTCTGTCGTGGGTTACATTTTCCTTGTCTTCTGATATACCTGTCGTCTCAGCTATAGTGAATGTTCCCCAAAGCCAAGAAGTGTGCCTTCTCAGCTGTCATCATTCCCTGCCCATCGAATAACGGAGGCCGTAGGACAAAGCAAAAGTTCTTCCTTTCCTACAAATCCCATGAGTGCAAGAAGAGGAAGTGGGGAGAGTAGAGACTAAGGGTGCTAGAAATATGAGATCGTTGCTGTAACAGGGTCCCTTAGGGAACAAAAGTAAAAGGAAGACCGCAAGGAAGAACTGTTGACCTTGAGAAGGTGGAGCCCTTCTCCTTTAAGGGAGGAGAGGAGATGGAGTGCAGAGGTGGGTGGAAAGTGATGCTCACACCAGAAGACTTGAACAGTTGCAATCGTTAAGGGGAAGGAGTAACATAGGAATCTCATGCTGGGGAAGTTTATAGGAAGACAGGTTGGAGGATCAGCCAAAGGACAATGTTTAGAATAGATTCACAATCTTTTCAGGTCCAGTGTCTTTAATAATATGATTAACAATAGGATGAACCTTTTCCCTAGAAAATCATATGCATTTTGCATATGATTTCCCAGGTTGGAAATACCTTGTACCAGGAATTACTAAAATTGAAAATAAAAGTATTTCCACAAAGTAATTTGAAGCCAAGCAGCTTAAATGTACAGCTTCCAAGTCTGTGTTTCTGTGATTGCTCAGTAGCACTCAAGGGTGGACAGTAGCAGGTGATACGGTGACAGGGACTGAGGCAGGGGCAGCAGGGCCGGCCTGGGAGCAATGATGCAGGAAGGCAGGGGGATGTCGGCAGGCAAAGCAGGGCTAGGGAAGAAGTGGGAGAGGTGGCAGCAGAGCACCTCAGAAGTGGGTTGCAGCAAGTTCCTCTCTGGGTACAGGCTATGGGAGAGTGCAGTGTCTACAGAGAACCTAAATGCAATAATAAAACCAGAAGTCAGTCTTCTTTCTAATATGATGCATGAGCAATTTAAACAGGGGTAATGATAAAATATTCCTTTCTGAAGAAATATGGATCTAACATCTAAGCAATTGCCTGCGCCTGGGCTCTACAGCAACTGAGAGGTAGATAAAGAGATTGAGAGCAAGGCGGGGCTTGAAACGGTGAAGTCCGGATGTGGCTTGTGGGGTGATGTGTGGCTGATGTGGAGTCAGAGCTTGCTAACGTAGCAAAAGCCCCTGGCTACTGCGAGGTGTAAGGAGCATGCAACTCAATGGCTTTCAGCTTCTGTCATCTGGACATCATTTGCAATCTTAAATCCTTTCTTTTTGTCTGAATATTGCTAGTCATGCCTACACACGTTTCACTGTCCTCATGCATCAGTTGTGCTCAGATCTCTACCTTTCCGACCTCTCTATTCTAGATAACATATTTACTCAGTGTTTGTCTCCCCGTTTGATATTGTGCTCCCTGAGATCAGTGACTGTGTCTCACCTCTCTCTCAATCACCATTTCTGACAGGTACTCACATGCTTGTGGAGCCCATTCACAAATATGTCTTGCTTTTTTCTTTTTTTTATAGATTTCCTGAGTCTCACATGACCAAGTACCAATAAGTCCAGAATGCTGCTACTTCTGTCTTCCCAGGTAAATGAAATGCCTATTTGTTCCTCTTTATGAAGCATAGTTTGGACCTTCATTCCATCCTGAAACTGCAAGGACATAGGGTCAGAGGAGGGAGGTCCAGTTATACATAGTTCACCCTGTAGACTTCTGGGACACTATCGAAGAGGTCGTGTTCAGGAAGCTGGGTGGAGACTGATCCCACCAGACTGGAAACCACAAGCATTTTGCTGCTTTGTGTTGTGATCAGTCTCATCTGAGTATTGTATGGCTGTTTCCCTGATACTGGAAAAGAATTTAGGTCCTTCCTAACCCCTTCCTGCAACATATATTAATTGGGACTAATCGTTCCATGGAGAACCCCACTCATCTCCTCAGTCTTCCCTGGGGATTGATAACTCTTTACTCTCCATCTAGAACTGAAGAGAGTCTAGCCTGAATCTCTTATCTCCTGTTTTCTGACCACTTTCTTCTCCAAATGGACCCTATTGCTTCTGTTAAAAAGTCAGCATGCCATTTGCTGATGAGTGAGATAACCCAGAACAGTTTGGTTTAACATTTAAGGTCAGAAACTGGAGCTGTCTAGTGGATAAGTGAAAGAAGCAAAGGAAGTATAAGGGTCCCCCCGCCCCCAAATACAGTCCCACTACCTCTTGGCACCATGACCATCAACAAACATGGATGCCTATAGAGAATCCTTAGCTCACATCTGAAATGGGAGCCCAGCCCTACAGTACTCACTCATTGCTAAACAGCTGCTAATACTGGCACCTCACAGTTTGCAGCAGTGTAGAAACTATGCAGAATACTCAGCAAATATAACTCAGAAACAACTCTTCATAGCCATTGTGAACACTTGTGGATTTCCCATTTAAAAATAGAAATTTGCTCTCAGATAAGTATCCAGGGTTTGGGCACAGAAAGGAGCCCCCCTTCTTCCACCACTTTATAAACTGTGCATTCAAAAAAATCTGGTCTGAATAAAAGGAATTGAAATACCTACTTAACAACGGCAGCTGCCAGTGTGATCCACTGCGGCTGTTTATAGGAAACATCTAAATAATTAAAATCTTTAATTGGGTTAAAGAGATCCTTAGCACATAGGTGTACTATAAATAAAAGAGTCAGTAATAGTGTAACTTTCCTTTTCAGGCCCCTCCCTTAAAGATATCATTTTGTTTTGATTGCACCATTAGGATCCTGGTTAGAGAACTCAAGGAGTTTGGTTTAGGGTGGGCTGGGGTTCTCCCAAGGAAGTCCCTTTTGGTTTGTCTCAAGTGTATGGTTACCTTTTTCTTGGCTTTTTCACTAAAAATGAATAATTGCTTATCTGTGCTCTAAGTAGGTGAGCACCTGGGCTTTGCTTTTGCAATGAGAGGCAGACAGAAAGAGAGTCCAGATAGCAGGCTGACCTTCCCTTGCTATCTGAGATCAGAAAGGTTTAAGTAGCCCAGGGCCCACTTAGAGTCAGCTGCAAGGGAAAGGCAGGAGAGGAGGTAGAGAAATGCTTAAGAGGAAGTGGTGAGAGGCGTCTGAATTTCAGTGTGACCTATTCTGTCAGGTGATTTTCTTTAGGGGGAGGGGACACGAGAAAACAAAGTTAAGTAAAATGTCCTTATAAAGACAAAATCTATTTCTTTCCTGGCTGATGATTTGTCATTCTAGTCACTTCCTGCCTTGTGACCACACACTTGAGCTTGACAAAGCTGTTCTGCAGATCAGAAAGAAGGGGTTTTCGGGTCGCACACCAGTACAACCAAGGACAGTTTCCACGAGGTAAATTTTCTTCATGTCTTTCTGTCCTCTCTGAATGCTCGTGATGGTTTTTGCCTGTTTCTGTGGATTGCAGATCTTCCTGTCACAGGACAGGAGCTGGGAGTACCTGTCACCCGAATCCCTGGCTCCCTCTGAGAACCAGGAAATGTGCATCCACCTTGTGTAAACGCCCTAGATGGGGACCCTGCGCTGCCTGGGTTGGGTTCTTCTCAAGTTAATCAGTTATCACTCACCTAAAACTATGGCATTTCCCCTCCTTTTTTAACCAAACTATGTTCTGATTTATGGCTCTTGCCTTATTTCAGGAAGGCTATTTATTGTGTTTTTATCTACTTTGAAATGTTTTCAGGGAAGTGCTTATTGATCATTTAGACTACACTGCTCATTGGCATAATGTGGGTAGTTTAATTTTAGCTGCTGTGGTTGTTTTTCTAAAAAAACTTCTTTATGGTACTTTAGTGGCTATATTAACATTTTAGGCTTTATATTATTGAATGCAATACTGATTATTTGAGTGATTTGGCGCCAAGGGTTTTTAATGGATGTGCTTTATAACTGCACAAAATTATAAGTCTGCTCTTCTCCAATCTTTAAAAATAAAAGCAATTTGGATTGCTCAGTTGCACTGTTTTGTGTAGGATTATCTAAATTATTTGTTAATGCTTATGGCTATACAAATGAATACTCAGTTAAATTCTGGAAGAAAATCTTATGTCTAGAATAGAATTTCTTGTAAAGCTGATATACTTATTGTAGAAACTTTGCTGAAGCAGAGAAATTTTGAATCTTATAGTATCAACTTTTATTTAATTATTACTATCAAAAATACTAAGAACCATTGACAGATGATAAACATAAAAAGTACTCAGACTGGAAATGTATACATTAGTCAGCATACATGTCAAAACCCAGTGTTTCTTAATCAAGTATCAGCAACTTGTTTTCCAAACTGGTCCTCAGAACAACCTTTAAAAAAAAAAGTACTACTATCTTAGTTCAGTGGAAATAGTAATGAAAATGTAATAAATTAGGATGTGCAGGAAGGTATTTCCTTACTTTTAGGAAAGAATAAAAAGTTAATTTAAGTCAAATTTAGATTGCTGAAGCATCCGCCTGGGAGGCAGCAGTGAGTCCAGTCCTCTCTGTTCCCAGGCTTGCCCCCATCCTGCTCCCTCCTTCCAGGTCTGATCCTTTGAGGAGGCGCTGGCCTGCTAAGCAGACTGGTGCTCTGGAGGATGTCTCATCGGAAATCAAAGGGATGCTTTTCTTTGTAGCATTTTAAGTTTTACCTCCTTTGTAAATTATGCCTTGAAACAATCAGCAATGAGGGAAATAATTTTAGTGTTATAATTTTACTTATAATTCCATCTTAAAGCCTTTTGGAGAGAGACGGTCAAGAAGTGAGTCTCATTCCGATGTATATATTTAATTTAGGATGGGAAAAGGACCTCTTTGGATACAGATGCTCAAATCCGTTATCTAAAATGGCATGACATTTGCATGGAACCTGTACACATATTTCTGTATGACTTAAATCATCTCTAGGTTACCTAATGCAGTCTGAATGCTTTGTATATAACTGTTACGCTGTATAGTCTAGGAAGTAATAATGAAAAAAATCTGTACGTGTTTGGTACACATGCAATATTTTTTCAGAAGAATTTTTATCTAAAGTAGTTTGACCTTGTAGATGCAGACCATGCACATGTGGAGCTCTAGCTAAATTAATAACCCTGGATGTTTTTAAGTACTTAGGGTGTGTAACCACTCTTAATACAGAACGTCCTTGAAGCCTGTCAACTACCTTTCCAGGCCAGGAGTGAGCTTAGGATTTGAAGGGGCTGGCCCGAGGTCAAGGGCAGTCGGGCAGTCAGGGTGGGGCAGAAGATGGCCAGGACTCGCGTCCTTGGTTGCGGTGTCAGTCACCGGTGTCTCCCTCAGTCCAGGCAGCACCCGGTGCAGACGACAGTAAACAGACTGTCAGGACTGAAGCCGACCAAGGCTAGCTTGTACTCACCATTTTGAAAGGGAGAGAATGAGAGGGAGAAAGAGGAAGGCAGAAAAAAAAGAGCGAAAGAGAGACAGAGAAGGAAGAAATTGCGGTTTTATTTTTACAGATATCATTGAAGGTTTTGTGTAATAATGGAATGAAATATCTTTCTAATCAACATATGATTTTACTGACATATTTTGTACCTTCTTAAACTTGCTTTACCCCACTTCCCCAATCATATTTCTTGTCACTTCCTTCTGCTTTTTTTAATTTCCTTCTCCTCTTCCCCGCCTCCTCACTTACCCATATTCTGGGTGCACAGACCACAAGCCACCAAAGAGTCTATGCTCTTTCCCTCCTTTTCGCCCCAACTGTTTCTTTCAATTGCTTTTCTTCATTATTTGTAAAACCTCTAACTTTTTTTTCAAGGTTCACTTTAGGGAACGTTCCCCTTTAGAGGCCTTTTTCCTACTTTCTGTTACCCCCATTCGTAGTTGTATGTATGTACGTGTTTGCTTAATGCTCTTATTTTAGAGTAAGTGCAGCATTTGATCGTTGCTTTAGTTTCCGGTCCTTATTTGCTGAGACCTGAGCCTCTGCATCTCTTTTGGCATGTAGTAGATGCTAAACATATCTATGGAAATGAACATTTGTCACAAATATTTTTTAGCAGTTAGATGCTTAGGTGTGGAAATCCTGCATTTCACTCATCTTAATATTTACTGGGGCCATCACAGTGATGCAGGAAAGGAAGATAGCAATAATTTAATGTTCTGGATCTAAGATGCTTCATCTTTACCAAAGTCCTACTCTTCATCTTAGACTGGAAGGACCAAAAGGATAGTGACCTCAGGAAATCATACAGTAATCTTAGCATACAGGAAAGAGTATAATATTATCATTTTAGTCTAAAAACATTCATTGAGCTAAAAGTTAAGTATCCTTCCCCAAACTATGTTTTTGATAATGGGCTTCTTTAATGACAAAGAACACAATAAAACATAAAGATAAGTAACTTTTCTTAATTGTCAGCTTCTTCTTACCTGAGGAGTACAGGCCTCTCTTGTGTACTCAGAAGGAACCGCAAACAAATTTTAAAATCAGTTAGGTAAAACAAAATCAGGAAATTTGCTCACAAGATTATACAGAGTCAAGGATTGGACTTTATGACTAATAGTAGATTCTATGGCATAATAACATTATTTGGATTAATTATCTCCCTAGGATCTTTTCCCTGGTTGTTTTGTAGTTCACAGATACTCAGTGAAATGATACAATATCATCTGCCTATTGAGCATTGCAGAAGTAATACTTGGGATTCGAGTCTATCAAAATATAAAACGTGAAGTGCCAGCAGATTTGACAAGTTTCAAGTCCCTGTTTTGCCAGATGACAAAGTACTTTTTGAATCAAAAGTGTTAATGCTTTGCACAATTTTCACTTTAAAATTTTAAGAGTCATCTCTTGGTTCGATCTACAGATCTGGAGATCGTCTAAGATCTTCTAAGGCCATTTCCGCCCAGCGGCTGAACCCACATTTCTCCCTAGGGAGCCTCTCCTTGTTGCTTTCCGCAGTTCCCACTTCGTCCTCCTCCTTGTCCTATATTATTGACTCTTCCTCTTGTGTTTGTCAATTTCAATAATTACATCAGTCTTCCCAGAAGTTGCATCATTGCCCCATCTTGTAAGATACTGCAAGCAATAGGAGAGGAGTTTCAATTTTTCATCCTGATAGTAACAGCTAGTAGTTATATGCTACTCATTTTGAATGGGACAGTTTTTTAAAATACTGTAACCATAACAAAGCAGCTAATCATCACAATAATCCTATGAAGTGGGTACATCTACATATTTGAAGATGAATTCATTCATTCATTTTCTATGCTTGGATCAATGTTACATCAACTGTCAAATACTGAGGTAGCCTCCTGATACAAACAGACAGTACTCCATGGTTTTTGTGTATGCCTATGCTCTCAAAATGAGCCCAAATAATCATAATTTTTTTTTTACAAAGAAGTGTCTTTATCTTGTAGTTGCTTTTATGAAGCGGACTGTTCTATGTTATCATTATCATCACCTACTCAGTCCTTCTGTACATTTCTTTTTTTAATTTTAAAAAAGGACAAAATGATACAGAATTTCAAAACAAAATAGTAGGAGATTAACAATGTTTAATGTGCATTGTTATCATCAAAGTAGTTGCTTAGGTTACAAGATATAGGCATGAAAAAATGATCAAACAGTAACAGTACAAACTGTTCATTTTGTGAACAGAGATTAGCGGTATAATTATCTATCTTGTGCATGTATATAATTCTGTCTTAGTCACTTATTCATAACTAAGACACAATACTCAACACCCACATTTTAAGGGAGAAAAGGTTTATCGTGGCTCACAGTTTGTAGAGATTTGAGTCTACATGCTGCTGGAAGGATGGCAGAGGGACTTGCTGGAGGTGAGCTGCTCATGACACAGCATCCAGAAGGCAGAGAAAGTCAAGGAGGGAGCCAAGGGAGGTAGACCCTCCCAGGCCATGCCCCAGGGACACCTCTTCTAACTCACCTCCACCTCTCAATGTCACAGTTGGCTATAAACTCACCAGTGGACTAATTCACCTATGAGTATCTCACCCCATGACACAGTTACCTCCTAAAAGGCCAACTTATGTTCATATGAGGTCTTGGGGGGATGTCTAGATGACATAAGCCATAAAACTTGATTATTTGGTTTTTACCAATGTATTGGCCTCTGCATATGTACCCCCAAAACTTTAAAAAATGCGTAGTCTTAAAAGTTTAGAATCATTTTAGTCAAATGGCATTCACATTTTCTAGTCTGTTGTGACTGGTAGGCATGAATAAATTTAGTATTGTACCCAAGTACCCACATCTATAATTATACAGTAATGGCCAATAATAGGTGTCCTAAAAAACTGGAAGAATGAAAGATGGTTTTAATTGTGACTAGAATGGAGGTTAAAAATGACCCACTTACAGAGTTAAA